AGTGTCCGTTATCCATCACATATCTCAAAGGTGTATCTTCAGGTCAACTGACTGGCAACACTGAGATAAACAATTTATGTCTTGATTTATTTAAGATAAATTTGTGCTATTTTCATCTGCCCTGTCCACATTCCCTTCTCACTCTACCAACCTTGGCCCATGTGAAGGTAGCCCATTGGAATGTAGAAGCCTGCTTCAAGCCTCATGAAAGCCCCTTCGAGTTTCACCATATCCAAGACCAAACCACAGTAACCAATTACCAGTATATTATAGATGTGGAACATTCTCATTCATTCAAATAAAAGTTGGAAAGTCAGCTGTTAGGGATATTATATATCAGCAAAGAGGTTGGACTGTGAGTCCCACATTTATGTCCCATCAAATAGCAGAAGGAAGTCCAGGCAATTAATCCATCCAATTCAGTACTGTCCACATGGATTGGAAATGGAATGTGTGTTATGATTCATTAGGTTTAACCATTTTTTTGGTAACTATTTTACTAAAAAAAAAGTTCTCAAGACGAAAAAGAGCTAAACATTTTGCCTCCTCCAGAGACTCCATAACACATCTGTATTCTTTGAAATGTTCAGAGACTAGAAATAAATAATTAATCAAGAAAGCAAGCAAGCAAGCAGCATCTGTCACTGCAAAAAGATTGCTAAATGGATTACCTGCCATGCTGCAGTAAGAGGTTTGGACCCAATGGTCCCATTCACATGTCTTGGCTGACCCAAGGGAGCTGTCAATCTCCCCTCATTTACACCAGCAGCACATGGGTCAGACTACCCTGGCAGCCATTTTCTAGGTCCTAACTATTGGAGGCTGCTGCTTGCTTTTTCATATGTTCCTGCTGGAGATGACCAGGTTGACCCCAAGGGCAGGGTCAAATATGTCATGTAGAGGTAGCATGAAATAAACTTGTAATACTTTTGAACTCTTATCCCAGCTCCTGGTTTCTTGTACCTGACAATTACTGTTTTTTTGAATGCAAATTCAACAGTGGGTCAGTGGCACTGCAGATTTTTGTGGGGGGAGGGTTGGGCAGCTCATCATTCTCCCTCTTGTTGGGTCTGGCTGGTTAAAGCAGACTGGTTAGAGAAGTGCAGATGACTCTACAAAGGCAGTCACAATGGGGTGCTAGAGGAAACTCTTTAAAAGGGCCTATGAATTTGTCTCAATCATATAGAGACAGGTTACTCATAAGTAGTCCTTAGAGTGGATGCATGAGCAAAGTTATCTTAGTTTCCAAATAAGCTTGATTTATCTGGGGATAAAAATAATTTCTCCTTTTAAGTAACAATTGGGATCATTTAACCGAATACTTCTAATTCCATTATACAGTAACCCATCACCTCTATAGATTGAATTAAGAATGTTGTGACAGAGTCAACGGATAATGACAAATCACATATTGGACAACTGTGCTCCCATGTCAATAGATTTTAGTTTTAGGACTTGGTTGGAAAATTAATTTTTAGATGTAAAAATGCCATTTAACTCAACATCATCTGTTCAAATAACATCCTGCAAGATAGCATCAGTTAGAAAAACATGTGTTTTCAAACACTGCACAGAGACAAGCCATCATTTTTTATAGTGTCTTCAAAGGTATCCTGATGATGGAGCATTAAGGATTTCATAGGGGTGGGGGAAAACTAAAAGGCATTCAAAAGTATTTTGTTTTCCAGGTCAATTAGTTCTCCACAAGTGTGTTAAGCATAACCATCAACATTTCTCCTTCCAAATGTACTTGATCATCTGATGACAACAATAGAATTTTCTTCAGTATTAGTTTATTAATACCTATAGAAGAGAATATATGCCGCTCAGGGTTGAATTGAGGAGTCCTTGGTGCAAGCAAACAACCAAGCTAAGAGAGCACCAAGGACTCCACAGTTATTAACAGCTGTCTACCTGGCACTTGGGAAGTAGCCTTCTATCTCAGTTTTTCCCTAGTAAAGTGAGAATTGCAGCATATTTCATAACTCAGAAAACACATTGTACATTGTAGGATGAAAACATAAATTTAAAAGACCAGCTAATGTTCTTGTAAGTTCAATTGAGATTTTAGAAACTTGCACATCAAGCTATGATTTACTAGTTGCACTGTATACAAGTTAATTGCAGTCTTGGTTCTTAGACTGCATCTAATGGAATGCTGGGAGTTACTCTTAGTCAGCAGAAATGGACATCCTTAGAACTGTTGGGAAAAATGTAATATTGATCAATGATTAGCCTACTCTAATCTTTAAGAAACTTTTGCCAATGAATTTTACTTTAATGATAAAAATACATGGCCAAACAGTTTCTTTCATGCTTAAATAGGCTCTGTTACTACAGATAATTCGAGCAACATACATAACTGTCTGGAAAGAATAGGCCCCCTTTTACTATTCTAAATAACATAATCATTTGATTTTCCTTTCATTTTTCCTTTAAAAGTTTATTGGACAGAATCAAATTATGGAGATGTCTTAGAAGAATGATGCTGGACAATAATAGAGCAAGTTTCTGACATAGAAGATACTGTCCAATATTTCCAAGACAGATTATTAGAAATCAAGATGTAATCCCATATTTTTCTCAAAATGATCCAAACCAATTCACACACAATTTCTCTTTCATTAATGTGACAGCTACTCTGTGATCTTTTCTACATAAATCATACACTTATAAAAATTCTATTCTAAAGATTTTATGGAACAATTCCTCATCACGCTATAAAGTTTGAAATCAAATAATTATCGGTATATAGCATGATGTATGTTCAAGCATATCAATAGTTAAATGTGACTGTGCTTCTTGACTCCATAATTATGAGGTTGAAAAGAATAATTAGTGTGACTAATTTTATTTAGAGTTGTTGTAATGGAACAATATTTTTGCATACAAAACTGTTGTTACATGAATATTTTGTGTGCTTGCCTTTATTCAAGACATTCTAAAACATGCATTGATCTTGAGATTATTAAATATTATGCAAACATTTTGTGAATTAAAAGAATTGGTTTTAAAGACTGTTTAATAGAAAACCTTGATCAAAATATAGTCAATACCTTTAAAACACTAAGATTTAAAACAAGTAGATTGTTAAAACTTTTTCCAGATTAAACATCAGTTGACAGATATTAATCATAACTTAAAATGGGAACCTCAAACAAATTAATATAGCAGCAATTATACAACACAAATTGGGAGCAAGATGGGGAATTACTGTTCATGTTTTCCACTTTACAGGAATCATTTCCTTATTAATTGTTCATTGATGATTTAAAAAGAATAACATCTTGTCCTGGAACTCTGTATGAAAATGGAATATTTACTATTTTACTGTACATCAACTTAAATGCTTATTGGCCACTAGATGTTAACTGCCAACTTTTCAGAGAAGAAGACAGCTTGAATTTGAACACTAGGGTTATTAAAACAAGTCCTTTACAACAAACCTCTTAGATTACAAAGAGAAATTCTCAGCATGATTTCTGCAGCCTGAGGTTTCTATGTCAATGTCCATCAGGCATGCTGCGTTCTGCTGGTTCCCCACTGTAAATCCTTCTGGGATCCTGCCACATGCTCCATTTTCCCAAAGTCTGCAACCACCTCTACGCAGGCAAAAGAGTTCACATAACCACAGTGATGTCATTTGAACAGACCCAAGAGTTGCTAATGTAGGCCCTGGAAAGTGATCTTATAGCATGATTGATTTCTGTGGAATTTCTCAACTGACAGGTATATGGCCAATACAATAAAGATCACTTTGCATGGCCCCTGTTCATATTTGATCTTTGACTTTGATTTTATTTGGATAAGCCCTCTGAAAGTTATTGGAAGATCTGCTTTAAATAATTCACGAATAGAAAGAAGCACATTGATTTTGGAACCAGACATTGGCCTAATTTGCAAAAAAAAAATCAAACTTAGCAAGCAAAAACAATAAAATGTGGAAAAGTGTGTGTGTGTGTGTGCTGCATTCACAATTGCCTGTGTAAGAAGAGCATATCTAAGAGGGGTATTGGTTAACTGCTTTTAAGATAACTGATTCTAAATTTCCCTTGTGACTGCATCTCTATCGTTGTTCAATCTTACTTCATTGTAATCTATCATTTAAACAAGCAATTATGTACGTAGCTACTAACTGCTTGATTTTGGTGTGAAGGGCTGCTCTTAAAGACACAGGGACCAGGTTCACTCTGAATAGGTATTGCCCACAACTGTGTTAGGTGCCCTCCACAATCTAACTCATCCACCCACACATCCACCCACCAGAAATGTCCTCTGGATTGTACTGTCCATCAATCCATCTCTGCAGCAACACATAGGCTATGTTCATAAAGTTAAGCCATAGTTTGTGTGTGAGCCACCGTGGCCTGCACATAAAACGTATTTCCCCAAAACAAAGCATTGTACGACTGGCTTCTCCCTTTTTTCCTGACTTATCACAGTCCAAGCCAGAGAATCTGGTTTCTACTACCCATTCTGCTTATATATTTAGGAACTAGGACTAAAACTGCATCGAGTCATTTTTAAAGGAAAACAAAATCCCTTCAGTATTTCTGCTTGATGGAGTCAATTCAACACACATGTACCCAGAATTAAGTCCTGATTTATGCCCAAACTTGTGGCCAGGATTTATGAGGAACTGGGCATGGCTTTCAATAGGCATAGATGCCCCAAACTTTGCCTAAGGCCCTTAATTTAGACAGTCAGGAACTGCAGCATCAGATCTGTTCCAGCCTTGTAACACCGGAAAACAGGCGCGGGCATAGAAGTAGGCTCTGATTTCTAGGGCACAGCTTGGCACGCATCCCACCCAGCAAGCGATGGTCGACATCACCTTCCTGGATACTAAAAAGGTGCCCGGGCGGCAAAAGAGAAAGGGGCTCCCCTCCATCTCTCCCGGCCCGGCCAACGGCATCTTCGCTCCCAAAGGAACTAGGCGGCAGGAGATGCCGATGGCGAGAGCCCGAGGCAGCGCGCAAGAGCGGGAATCGCTGACTTACGTTCTCTTGAACACGCCGCCCAAGCAGCTCCCGACCAGCAGGCAGAACTGCTGCGAGAAGAAGACCCAGGTGATCTGCGACAGCGAGCTCTGGGTCTGGCAGCTCAGGTCGAGCAGGGTGGGCCCCAGAAAGGCGATGCACAGGCCGAAGCTGAAGAAGACGCTCCAGTAGGTCAGCGTGGGCTGAAGGTTCCTCTTGAAGAGATTCGTCACCCGCGCATCCCAGCGCCACATCCTCGGCTTGCGCTCCTGCCTTCGTCCGCCTTCCTTCCCCGAGCAAGTCCCTGCTGGGACGGGCGGAGCGGCTCCAACAGGCGAGTGGCGCCCCCTAGTCACCCGCGCTCCGGATCCGCACCGACCTAGCCGGAACCGCGCTCCGGGCAGCAGCGAGCCGAAACCTCGGGGAAACCTCTTCCCTTCAGCCGAGCCAGCGCAGTCGCCTTTACGGCAGTGGGATCCTGTTCGAAAACACCTGCAACCGGATACCCCTCCCCGCCCGCCACGCCTCGCCTCGCCTCTCCGCCCAGCCGCGTCCCAATTCTGCCTTTGCTCCCTCTCGCGATCACGCGTCCTCCGCCTCAGCTGCCCCGGTCCCGGGTCCAGCGGTTGCCGATCCCCAAGCGGCTTAGTCGGCTTCTCCCCGTCTCTCCACCTCAAGAGAAGGATGCGTATCGCGCAAAGCGAGCGGACAGAGCAGTGCTGGATTGGCACTGGCTCCGCCCCTTCATCCTAGAGGGCCGCGCATAAACAACCGGCCCAGTCGCCTCCCTTGGCCGGCTCCCCGGGGCACCGGCTGCGACGGCGAAGAGGCGCCAAGGGGACCAGCCGGCTCCGACTCGCGCTCGTCCTTGCGCCCAGCAACAGCTCGGGCTCACTCGCGGAGACGAGAGGCGGCCGCGTTCTCTCCAGGGTCGCCTTTCTCTATCACCTGGGAGCTGCGCGTAACCTTCCTCCGCATTGCCGCCTCCAAGAAACCGGATTGGCGCGCAAATGGGTCAGCTCTCCCGGTGCGGCTCTTTCGCTGCCCAACGAAACCGTGTCCCGGACGCGGCATCTTTTGAGTTGGCGGGTTGTTTCAGACTTGCCTGTTCTCCGACACGGAAGAGCCCGGAACTCCTCACCTGTCTGCCCTCAGTTTACAATTCCCGGCTCTTCCAATTCCCAATCACTTTTCCATAGGCAAAAAGAGAGAGAGAACCATTTGAAACTACTCCAAACAGTGTTGAGATTCCCCCCCCCCCACCCTTTATAGGCTTGTTTGCTCTGTTCTTGAGAAATGGAGGTGCCACAACTCACATTAAACATTACTAAGTAACTTCTTCTGTTAAAGCCATCAGCATTCACCTCATAACTGGCCTACTCCTCTTCCAACACTGTGTAATGGTTAAGGGGGAAGGAATTTCTCTTCCCTTGCAGTTAGGAACCAGCAGAGAGATTTGAGGGAAGGTATTGTAAATAGAAACCTTCCCTTGGATTTCCTTATGCTGCTCTTTACATCAAGCAAACATTATTTATTGCATTCACATGAGGTCTATCTTGTTCTTAAGTTTTGGCAAGATCCAGGTGTGGCTAACACTCAATCCTTTGTTCTTTCAGATTATGCTTTGGGGAGTCTGATTGCCACGAATCAATGTTTCTACATGGTCAATTTCTTCTTAAAATTGTTTTCAGTGGAGAGTTTGGGCAGCTATAACAAAGAGACATGCAGTCATTAGTTAGTATGTGTTTTGTGTGTGTGTACAGACAAATATTTACATATTGGCTATATGCTCAGCAGCTGGTTCACATGTTTCATGAGGAGATAGTTTGCTTCACTCACAGCAGAAGATCTTGACTAGGAAGCAGGTAGCTGCATTGTGTTAAGCTATTATCATGGAAACTTTAGTGCTATCATCACTTAAAGTGGTCTTTCACATGTCTGGAAACATTCAAACAGGAAATGTGGTATCTCATGTTTTTTCCCTTTCACATTCTCCTGATATGCAAAGAAAGGTCCAATGTGTCCTTGCTTAAGAAAATACAGTATGTTGTCTACATTTGGATCTGGAATATTAAAAGAACAAATTCAGTGACTTAGAAAATTCCTGAATTTGCCAGATTTAATTAAAGAAAGAGTATCTGGACAAGTGTTTCCAGGGAAGACAGTGGCATTTCTTCCCAACATTTTTAACTCCTTAGACCCTATCTCCTCTTGCTCCATTCCTTTAAAGCAATATGCTAAAACCTTGGGCCTTTTAAACTATATTTCAAAGGGTATCCAAAATCTAGAGGAAATGGGAAATGCTTCTTTGTCCAATGAACTCTTTTTTGTTCTAGGTTCTAGTGTTTTTTTTTAAAAAAAATACAATATATATTATGGATATATATTATGTAGCAGGCTGGATTGGAGTTAATGTTCCACTTGTGCAGAAAACTCCCTCTGGAGGAGGAAGAGTTTATAAATATTTTACCTGCTGCATTTGAAACAGTAACTGGATTTTTTTATAGCTTTCTTGCTTGCTTTCTTCCTCCAGCCTTATTCCTCCCAGAAAGTGCAGTACAGTATTTAGGCAAGTGAAGCAGAGATGATTCAGTGACATGTTTTCATTTTCTTTACTCAAAATTTTTGGCAAGATGGATTACAATTAAGATTAAGGCAAAGACTGCCTCAAGTTGAATTTGTCTTCTAGATATTTCATGATTGTAATATGGAAGTGATTTACCCATTACTTTATTATTGCTATCCAAGTACTAACCAGTCCTTGCTTAGCTTTTCAAGATCAGCAAAGGTTGTTTAGCTGCTTGCCACCTAATTGGGCATTAAACTAGTTCCCCAAACTTCTTCAAAAATTGTTTCTCCAGATGTGGGGGAACCACACAGTTCCATCTACATTCATAATTGTTTATTCCTTGTAATTGATAAAAAAGGCTAAATGTGTTCCTCCCTCCCATACTTGAAAAGGATGGTCACCTTGCAAAGATATCCTACTGTAACTCGTGGAGCTTGTGTGATCAGATCAGATTGTGGTCTGAAGGTCTTGTCTTTAATTACTTCAGATGTCCTATTATAAGGCAGGTGCTATGAATACTCTTTTAAAGGTGATTTTTTAGAATGCTAAGTTAATGCAGGGGTCCCCACACTTGGCAACTTTAAGACTTGTCCATAAGTTTTAAAGTTGCCAGGTTTGGAGACCTCTGAGTTAATGGATTAAGACTGTGTATTAATAATGAGATGTAACACGACCATTTAAAGGAGAAGAAAATCAGGAATGGCAACACCAAAAAATTCAGTCAGATGTTTTGAAATCCCCTTTCTTGCCTCTTTGTTGAAACAGTACCAATTAAAATGTTGACAGACAAATTATATCAGCAATACATAGCTGCAAATATAACTTCCATCATTGTATGAACATTATTTTCTTACTTTCCCAAACATAAAAAATCCTCAGTTGCTGATATACTGATAAATTTAGAGGATTGAACCAAGAAGACCTCTGCATGCTTGACAATAATTTTCTAAAGTATTAATAATCTTGTGATTTTCCCCCAAAATATGGAATAATAGTGCAATTAATTATCCTGATTAGGTATTGGAAAATATTGATTTACAATGCATTCCTGGGAAAATCTCAGAAATAATTCTCACCAGGCAATTATCCAAGGTATCATGCACACAGAAGGATTGTGCCAGATGGACATAATCTAAATCAGATTTTTCCCAATCTGCCACCCTTCAGAAGTGTTGAATTACAAATCCTGTCATGTTTTTTTTAGCTAGTATGCTCTTTGAAGGATATGAGTTATAGTACAGCACATCTAGAGGTGATAAGGCAAATGAAGAACATTCCCTAAACTGCTATTTTAAAGGCTTAATTGGATCCCCAGGTAACCAATAATAAAACTGTATAATGTTCTCAATATTTTCTAGTTCGTTTGTATTGTATTTTGTATGAAGCTGTATTCAGATTTGGATATTGAATTTAATAGTGTTAGTATGTTCTATAAGTCATGCCACCTGCCTAACCCAGCCATTTTCTTCCTCAAGTCTCTAGTACATATCTTTTCACTATGGTGTTGTTTTGCTGTTTTCTATAATATCGGCTACATAGACTATGTCATATACTGTCCTCATTATGGGCGTTTTTTCTAAAAAAATTTAAATGAAATCCCACAAATTCTGGAAGATTTCTACAGAATTCTTTAGTCTTGATATAACCACTAAATATTTTATTTATTTGTGTATATGTTTCTGATATGACCAGGTTGAATACAGGATAGATACAGCAGAGTCTCTAGGTTAAGTGGGTTAATGTGCATTGAATAACTTAAAATGGTTTATAAACAGGTTCCCTTGATTCTGCAATGTTTGTACAGTCAGTAGTTGCCTTCTGTGATACTAAATATATTCCTAACCCTTACCTCTGAAAGGTGGAGATTTTTCTAAGCTAAGAGTCTGATCCTCAAACCTGTCTTTCAATCTATATCTCCCTAATTCCTCTACTATCAGTTGGATAGTAGAGGATGTCAGTGGCTAATCCTTTCACCATGGAAACACCTTGGTGCTTCCAAAGTAGTCGTAGTAGTACTATCAGTTTCCCCCTCTTCCTCCTCCTGATATATAAACAGGGAGAAGATATCCTGCTTTGGCTGATATTTCTGACATCCATCATCACAGGTTCTTCTAGAAAGTTATATTTCAGAGGTCTGCAAACTTGACAATTAAGACTTGCGGACTTCAACTCCCAGAAATCTCCAGCCAGCATAGCATAGCTATGAGTTGAAGTCCACAAATCTTCAAGTTGCCAAGTTTGGAGACCCCTGTTATATTGGAATATGCTTGCTGGCTTCAGGTTATACTTGTTTCTTTTCAACTTTGTGTGGTTCATACATCATGCCAACTCACCTTGTGATTTGTATGGTTTTGGGTTAGGATATTGTGTGAACCCTGGCTGCTGTAATTAGTAAGGTATATAAGTGAATGAATAAGAATTGGAAGAAACATGGCCAAATATCTTTGGAAAAATAATCCGTGACATGCTCTCATCATCTAGAGTTACTGTAAGAATCTGGTGATTTCACCTCAGAGTAGGACCTAATAGGACTAGGTCAACTTACATGAGTTACAGTGATTTATTGCACCTCCAACAGCAATTGCATTCCTGTAATCAGTTTCATATTTTATTCTGCAGTGTTCTCACAGTTCCCATGCAACCTTCTGCCCTTTCAAATCTTCTCAACCAAAGGGCAAAACAGTACGGAGTGTGCATGGAAGCTGAAGGAAAAGGAGGCAAAACAACATTTAGAATTGGAAAATGTACTGAAAGGTGGGAGGGAGGTGCATCTGTGTCTGGTTGGATTGGAAAAGACACACAAGTTACCTGGCCTGCTTCCCTCCCTCAGTAATAACTAGTCCCAGTGACTTCAGAAGCGGGCAGGAATTTCTCCCTAATTCATCTCCAATGTGATAAATTCTATTTATTACAGTATTGTTCCCCCCCC